AGAGTCTAAAACTTGTAAAATCCGGTTGCAACCAAGATGCTGCTGAATCAGTTCAGCTAGAGTCTCCCCCCAGCCCGTGTCCACCCCACCTCATCCTTGATACCGGCCCAAGTCCCTCACCCTCCACCCAGGTCATGTCTGCTCACCCCCGCCTGTCTGCAGCAAGACTCCTGCCCAGGTCATTTTACGCACAATCCCTCTCCCTGCTTCTGTCTCCTCCCAGTAATTTTCCATCCCAGTGACCAGCAATGATTGCCACTTCCCCTTCTGCACGTGGCACTCCCTCCCACTGCAGCCCTCTGCTGTCTAGATCTCTGTATCTGTCAGGAAGGCCTGAATAAAAGTCTCCTGTGCTTTAGCAGGTGTCAGGGGGTCGTTTTTATTTATTCACTTAAGACTTACTTACTTGAAAGGCAGAATTACAAAGGAGACGGAAAGACAGATCTCCTCTCTGCTGGTTCAATCCTGAAATGGCGACAACAGCCCGGGCTGGGCCAGTCTGAAACTAAGAGCCAGTGTCTCCATCCAGTTCTTCTGCATGGGTGACAGGGATCCAAGTACTTGGGCCATCCTCTGCTGTTTTCCTAGGCGCTTTAGCAGAAATGCTGGCTCAGAAATGGAGCAGGCAGGACTTGAACCAGTAGTCATATGAAATGCATGCCTTGGCTTAACCTGCTCTGCCACATTGCCAGCCCATCAGCTTACTCAGTTGTGTCAGCCCACAGGTTGTTTTTTTCCACTTGGCACAAAGGCTTGTGGTGTGCTTGAAGATGTGCAGCGTTTCCCACAGGTGTGTGGACGGCAGAGATGTGAGTGTCCATGGAAATGATTCATAAGGGGGAGAAGTGGGGCTGAGAAATGGAAGTGATCCTGCTATGGTTGAGAGAGGAGCCCCCTGCCAGCCACCCCAAGCTTTATAAAGATCTTTTGCCCCTAGCTGGATTCCCTTGCTCACAGCCTGCACTTGTGTTAAACTTGCACTGCGCTAAGCCGCGGCTGCGGGATACGGGGCCTCCTGCCCCCTAGTGGCTACTGCGGATTCTTCCCATTCCCAGGAGCGAAACAGCGCGAAGGATGGATGCTTAGCTGAGCCGGGTCCCATCCACATCTCACCCGAAAGGCACACAGGCCTGTAAGGATACAATTGTTCATCTCTTATGTCTCTGCTTCTACAGCATTCCTGTACTCCAGAGGGAAAGCCCACAGAGCACGGGAGTAAAGGAAAATAAATTTGGTCAGACTTTCACTATTTTCGAATTCCTCTTCCTTCCTTTCCTTCCCTTCCTTTCCTTCCCTTCCTTCCTTCCTTCCTTCCTTCCTTCCTTCCTTCCTTCCTTCCTTCCTTCCTTCCTTCCTTCCTTCCTTCTTTCTTTCTCTCTCTCTCTTTCTTTCTTTCAGATTTATTTATTTTTATTACAAAGTCAGATATACAGAGAGCAGCAGAGGCAGAGAGGAAGATCTTCCGTCCAATGATTCACTCCCCAAGCGAGCGCAACGGCCGGTACTGCGCAAACCAGGAGCCAGGGACTTCCTCCAGGTCTCCCATGCGGGTGCAGGGTCCCAAGGCTTTGGGCCGTCCTCAACTGCTTTCCCAGGTCACAGGCAGGGAGCTAGATGGGAAGTGGAGCTGCTGGGATTAGAACTGGCGCCCATATGGGGTCCCGGCGCGCTCAAGGTGAACTTTAACTGCTAGGCCACTGAGCTGGGCCCCGTTTTTTAAGTCATAGTGAAATGTACATAAACAATCTCTAATGCACAGTTCACTGGCGTGAGGCGCATTCCTGTTATTGTGAATGTGCTTTTTATCACCATCCACCTCCAGGAGTTTTATCACCTTCCTCAGTTGAAACTGACCAGGAGGCACGATGCCCTCCAGGCCCTGTTACCTGCCATTCTACTTTCTGTCTCTGAATTTAATTATGCTAGGTACAAAAGCAGTCATTTCTTTAAAAAAAAAAAGTATAGAAAAGTGTGGACTTTTTCTAATATTTACTTACACTCTGAATAGCATAGGTTTCCCATGTCTGAATAATTAGTTCAGAAAACAGTCTATGATACAATAGAAGTAGAGATTTATTATCAATAGGTACCCATGGGGGCCTGGCATGATAGCCTAGCAGCTAAAGTCCTCGTCTTGCACACCCATATGCATATTGGCTTGTGTCCCAGCAGCAGCTCCACTTCCCATCCAGCTCCCTGCCTGTGACCTGGGAAAGCAGTGGAGGACGGCTCAAAGCCTTGGGACCCTGCACCCGCGTGGAAGACTTGGAGGAGACTGCTGGCTCCAGCCTTCGGATCGGTGCAGCACCAGCCATTGCGCTCACTTGGGGAGTGAATCATCGGACGGAAGATCTTCCTCTCTGTCTCTCCTCCTCTCTGTATATCTGACTTTCCAATAAAAACAAATCTTAAAAAAAAAATGTACCCATGGTCAGAGATGCTGTTAAAAGGAAAAGTATCTGAGATGATGGGAATATTTTCCAATTAAAAGCCCAAATAATATCCAGTAATGGGTGTTTGTGTTTTGTGTCTATTGCTTTCTTTCTCATTTCTGACATGTTTATCTTGGCATGCGCATATCATATTGTCACTCAGGTAGAGTTTTGTTTTATTTGAAAGAGTTACAAACAAAGAAGGAGAGACACAGAAGCAGGAAGCACACACACACGCACAAAGAGAGTGAGCGGAAACACTGCTTCCATCACCTCACTCACTCTGGAAATGCTGCAGTTCTGGGATTCGGCCAAGCTGAAGTCAGAATCCCGGAACTCCTCTCACATCTCCCATGTGGACGGCAGGATGCTAAGCACTTGGGCCATTGCCTGCTGCTTTCCCAGGAATATTAGTAAGGAGCTGGATCAGAAGTGGAGCAGCTGGGAATCAACCTGGATTTATGGAACACTGCGTTGCAGGCTGCAGCTTAACATGCTGCACCACAATGCCTGCCCCCTCAGAAATAATTTGTTTAAAGACATATAAAGATATGCACATCTGGCCATCTTCCAGAAATGTCTAAAATTTCACAATGGGGCCCAGCTCAGTGGCCTAGTGGCTAAAGTCCTCACCCTGAATGTGCCGGGATCCCATATGGGCACCGGTTCTAATCCCGGCAGCTCCAATTCCCATCCAGCTCCCTGCTTGTACCCTGAGAAAGCAGTGGAGGACGGCCCAAAGCTTTGAGACCCTGCACCTGCATGGGAGACCTGGAAGAGGTTCCCGGATCCTGGCTTCGGATCAGCGCAGTACCGGCTCACTTGGGGAGTGAATCATCAGACGAGAGATCTTCTCTGTCTCTGCTCTCTGTGTATCTGACTTTGTAATAAAAAATAAATCTTAAAAAGAATAAAATTTCACAATGAAGAAGAGGGTATTTATTTATTTATGTGTTTATTATTAAAAGGCAGATTTACAGAGAGGAGAGTCAGAAAGGTCTTTCATTTGCTGATTCACGCCTTGAGTGCGAGCTGGAGCTGAGCTGATCTGAAGCCAAGGGCTTTTTCTGGGTCTCCCACGCAGTGCAAGGTCTCAGGGCTTTGAGCCATCCTCTATCGCTTCCCCAGGCCAAAAGCAGGGAGCTACGTGGAAAGCGTAGCAGCTGGGATGTGAACCTGTGACCATATGGGATTCTGGCACATACAAGTTGAGGTTTTAGCCACTAGGCTATTGTACTGGGTCCTACTTTTTTTTTTTTTTTTAAGATTTGTGAAATTGAAATGATCTTTCAATAGATAGCAATAGAGAGGGAGAGATTGGGAGATCTTGTATTGGCTGGTTCACTCCCCTAAGTCACTGCAACAGTCAGGTCTGGGCCAAGCTGAAGCCTGGAGCTACGAACTCCATCCTGGTCTCTCTCATGGTGGGTGCGGAGGCCCAAGGACTCGGACTGTCTTTCTGCTGCTTGCCCAGGCGCCGTAGCAGGGAGCTGGATGGGAAGAGGAGCAACCTGGACTCGCACGAGCATTCCAGTATGGGATGTGCACGTTGGCAAGTAGCCACTTAAAATGCTGTGCCATAATGCCAGTCTGTTGGTTGATGGACGTTATGGCACTGCATTTGTTTGAGGTAGAGAATATAAACTGAATGAAGTCACTGCAAACCCATAGCTCAAGAAGGTGGTTATTTAGGCATATGCCAGGGCGGACTTTTTGGCACACTGAATTAAGCTATCTTCTATAATGCCAGTATCCTGTATTGGATTGCCAGTTTGAGTCCCGGAAAGCAGCAGAAGATGGTCCAGGAACACGGGCCTCTGTCACCCACGTGGGAGACATGGATAGGGCTCCGGGTTGCGCTGGACCAGGCCTGGCCAATGCAGCCTTTTGGAAAGTGTAACAATTCTCTCGCTCTCTCAGTTTCTGATTTGTTTTCACTCTACCTTTCAAAAAAATTTTTTTAAAGATTTATTTATTTATTGGAAAGTCAGACATACAGAGAGCTGGAGAGACAGAGAGGAAGATCTTCCATCCGATGATTCACTCCCCAAATGAGCGCAACGGCCGATGCTATGCCGATCCGAAGCAAGGAACTTCTTCCGGGTCTCCCACGCAGGTGCAGGGTCCCAAGGCTTTGGGCCGTCCTCGACTGCTTTCCCAGACCACAAGCAGGGAGCTGGAAGCGGGGCCGCCAGAATGCAAACCTTGGCTAATCTTTCCATTGCAAGCACCAGATCCCATAAGGGTACTGGTTGGTGTCCTGGCTGCTCCAATTGCAATCCAGCTCCCTGCTTGTGGTATGGGAAGGTAGTGGAAGATGGTCGGTCCAAGACCTGGGGCCCTGCACCTGCATGGATGACCTGGAGGAGGCTCTTGGCTCCTGGTTTTAGATTGGCACTGTTGCAGCCATTTGGGCACTGAGCCAGCATATGGAACTTTCTGTCTCTCCCTCTCTCCGTAAATCTGCCTTTCCAATAAAAATAAAATTTTAAATCTAAAAAAAGAATTAGTTCTTACAAAAACAGTGTTCATTTATGACCCAGAAATTCCACTCCTGTCTATACTAAGGAGAAGAATCTATAGAAAAACCTGTGCACAGATGTCCATGTAAAAAAACAGCTGTATCCATCAGGGCCACAAGTTGGAAACCGGCAAAGAAACTTGGCTATATTCATCAACCAAATATCACAGCAGTAAAACAGCTGCAGCACAACAACAGGAGTTCTCCTCGTGACCGGAGGATGTCATCTCTAACAACATTCTTGATGTTTCTGAGTGTCATTCGAGAACAGACAAAACAGGGCCTGGCGCAGTAGCCTAGCAGCTAAAATCCTTGCCTTGCCTGTATCGGGATCCCATATGGGTGCTGGTTCTAATCCCACTGGCCCCTCTTCCCATCCAGCTCCCTGTTTGTGGCCTGGGACAGCAGTCAAGGACACCCCAAAGCCTTGGCTCCCTGAACCTGCATGGGCGACCCAAAAGAGTCTCCTGGCTCCTGGCTTCGGATTGGTGCAGCTTCAGCCATTGCAGCCACTTGGGGAGTGAATCAGCAGACAGAAGATCTTCCTCTCTGTCTCTCCTTCTCTGTATATCTTTCTAAAAAGATCTCTGTATATCTTTCTAAAAAAAAAAAAGAAAGAAAGAAAGAAAGGACAAAACGGCAGGCTAAGCCATCGCTTGTGATGCTGGCGTTCCAGTCTGAGTCCCAGCTGCTCTGTTTGTGATCCAGCTCCCTGCTAACACATCTGGAAAGTCTGATCCGCTGCCACCCGCAGGAGCGAGTCGGATGGCCTTCTTGGCTCCCGTTTGTGCCTGGCCTAGCTGGGCTGCTGTGGCTGTTCGGACAGTGAGCCAGCCAATGGAAGGTTTCTCTGCTTCTCTCCCTCTCTCCGTCTCTCTCTCTCTCCCTCTCTCCCTCTCTCTCTCTCCCTCCCTCTCTCCCTCTCTCTCTCTCTCTCTTCCCCTCTCTGTAACTCTGCCTTGAAACAAGTAAATCTTAGGAAAAAATAAAAAGGTGAAACCAACCCAGGAAACTGGTGATGGTTACATAACTATATATTTATGAAATGTGTGCTTTGCTGTAAACGCTAAGTCCAATGAAAAAACTGAAAAAAAAAATGATTATCTAGAAGATTTCAAGATCAGTGAAAACTCCATATAAATGTCTAATGAATACAGATAAAGCCACCCTCGCCAGGAAATGCAGCCATTATTATCTGGTCTATTACCATCTCCTCCCCAAATGGCAAAGCAAAGGAACTCTGCATGTAATTCAGTCACCTATAAAACTAACAAAAGAGGAATAACACAGGGAACTGCTAAAGAAAAATTGTTAAAGTAGAAAAAAAGGAAAAAATGTAAAGTTGAAAAAAACGTGGAAAAAATTTTTGTTGGAATCTATACATCAAAAAGAGCAACTGTTAGGGCTAGGCAATCATCCCCATGCGTGCTTCGTGGAACTGAACACGGGGCTCGTTCCCGTATGTCATCACCATTACACCCAACTCGGCCAACCATCGATATCCTTAGGATGCTTGTTTTACGGTAGGACAGCAAGTACCAAGTTGATCTCGGCTGCAATTACGCAGCAGGTGCAGCAGGTGCAGCAGGTGCAGGGTGGCTTGGCCCACATCAGCACAGTCCGGGCCTAGGACAGTCCCAAGAAGGCAGGGTAATGTCTGCATCCCGGACACGAGGCTGCTATGGCCACCCCTTCCCCGCGGAGGCACGACACAGGAGCCCCCTAGGATTCTGACGGGGTGCTTGCTTGGCAGGGCTCAATCGGGGTTCAGGCCGTGGGCCGGAGGAGAGGGACGGCAGGTGCAGGACCCCGAGGCCCGGGGCAACCCCACGCAGCGCCTCCTGGGCCTGCGGGTTGGCGGGCGGCGGGGGCGCGCGCGCGCGCGGGGCGCCGGGGACGCGCGTCGCTGCGAGGCCTGCGCGCGCCAGGCTGCGGGAGCCATGCGGCGGGCAAGGAGCTCGGCGGCCGCCGCTCCGCGCGGGCAGAAACGGTCGGGCCCCTCGGGCGGGCCCGGAGCCTCGACCCCCGCCGCCGCCACCTCCAACGACCACCGGCCACGGCGCTCCGCGAGCCAGGGCGCCAGGGGCAAGAGCCAGGCGGCCAAGCAGCAGCCGTCGGCCAGGCGGGGGCCGAGGCGCTCTCCGCCGCGGGCCCAGGAGGCGGGCCCCGAGGAGCAGCCGGCCGAACCGGCGCTGCCGCTGTCGTCGTCGCCGTCGCCGCCCCCGACCCCGGCGACCCAGACGTCCTCGGTGTCCACGCTGGACCTGGGCGAGCAGCGGGAGCGCTGGGAGACGTTCCAGAAGCGGCAGAGGCTGAGCTTCGAGGGCGCTGCCAAGCTCCTGCTGGACACCTTGTGAGTGCGGGCCGGGGCCGGCGATGGGCACCGCGCGGACGCCCACCCGCGCAGCCCCGGGGCGGGGACCCGGGTGGGTGCCACCGAGTGGGTGCCACCGAGTGGGGGCCCCCGTGGCGCGGTTGGAACGCGCGCCTGCCACGTAACGGAACCGCCGCGGCCTCCGCGTCAAGCCCGGTGGGCGCTGGCCTCGGCCCGCCTCCGTTGGAAAGGGGCGGCGTGGGCGGCCCCGGGGTCCGGAGTTGGGGGGCGCTGGGGGACCCCCCGGGCCTGTCCGAGGAAGCGCGCGTCGCCGGCCCGCCCGGCCCGGCACACAAAGGGGCTTCTGCTGGCCGCCGGCGCGGTGGTGCCTGTTGTCCCGTGGCTCGCAAGACTTTCCCTCGTCCCGCGTGTGCGTCTTTGTTGGTTTTGCACGTGGGTCTGTGGTGTTTTGTTTTTATTTCTTCTTCTTCACATCTTCTGTGCTGCTGGTGGGGGCTGGGGAGGGGGTGCGGTCGAAGGAGGGGGTAGCTTGGGGGTAACCTTCCCCACCACGACCCCTGTCATTGTTCCCGGCGCTGGCGGGGCGGGAACGGGGTCCGGGGGTGCGGGGAGGGAACCCCGGGACATGGAGCTTGGGATGCTGCCCTCCACTATGAGTGTGTGTTTGCGGGGGGGGGGGGGCTCGTCTCCCCGGGTTTGGAGGGGTGAAGCGCCCTCTTTTCGCTTTCCCCCAAGTGTGCGGGTTCCCCGCTCCCACCGGCCTCTCCGATGTCCGGAGAGCGATTCAGGCGAAAGCCTTGAACTGGCTTCGGTACCCCCTCTCCACACCACCACGCCTCCCTCCTGGGGTCCGCAGCCCCCAGAAACACCTCCAACATCCATCACAGTCCCTCTCGACTATTTTAGGAGTTGTAACGGTTAAAAAGGCTGGGGGAAAAAGTTGAACAACATCCTTACAGTTTCGTAACCAATCTGAGAATCACGGTTTTTCTGGAACAAAACGGAGTGCTTTGTCCTTGTCCCAGAAGGCGTTTCTCTTATTTAGGATGGGTCTCCTCCGGGACAGGATCCTGAGTTTTTGTGTGTGCGTTTTATTTTTTGCATTTATCACTTCAGAGTCTACTCTGAACTTTTAGAAAGCCATTCATCCAACCAACATTAAAATATATATATATATATATATCTCTCCATGATCCTGCCGGCCACTTGCTGCTGGGCATGGGGGGGTTGAAAATAATAATAATAAAAGAAAGATCTCTAGAAATGCCAAATTGAAGTTAATTTCTTTTACCTTAACACTGATACATGGCCAAGAAAGACTTTAAAATAGTGACATTTAAAAAAAATAATAAAAAAAAATCAGAAGGTCTATATTTTTTTTTAACCCGGGTTAATCGGCATCCTCTGCACTCGAGTCTATTAAATTATGTATAGAAAGTATCATTTGTATTAAATTTGTTGTATAAAAAAGTTTTGGGGAGCATATATATAAACGGTCCCTGGGATCTCCCCTGATCTAAAGATATAGGACGCTGTCGGATGGGATACTGAGGTTTTACAGCCAGCACTCCCTTGTACATGCAAAGAAAGAAACATAACTGCTTTTTAAAGAGATGAGGAAAAGCATTCAGTCTTTTTGTTTTTTAAGCATTCAGTCTTGATAAAAGACTACAATGAACTGGTTTCCTCTAAGACTATAACTCTGTGAGGCACAGTGCTGTGTGTTTTCATCCCGTGTGGGTGAGAATGTTCAGTCCTTTGGCAAAGCAAGTCAGTTTTCAAGTCTTGTCATCCAGTGATGGTCCCTGTGCACTTTTTTAAAAAAATGATTTTATTTATGTTCATTGGCAAGTCAAATATACAGAGAGGAGGAGAGGCAAAGAGGAAGATCTTCCGTCCATTGATTCACTCCCCAGGTGGTCACAATGGCCAGAGCTGAGCTGATCTGAAGCCAGAAGCCTCCTCTGGGTCTCCCACGCGGGTGCAGGGTCCCAAGGCTTTGGGCTGTCCTCCACTGCTTTCCCAGGCCACAGGCAGGGAGCTGGATGGGAAGCGGGGCTGCCGGGATTAGAACCGGCGCCCATATGGGATCCAGGCACGTGCAAGGTGAGGACTTTAGCCACTAGGATACAGCGTCTGGTCTTCACATTTTAAAATGATGATAGTTATTTAGTGTGTGTATGTGTGTATCTGTAGTCATGTGGAGCAAATGTGCCGCTCGGACCGTTTTCAGAGCTGTTGGAGTATTCCCGGCTTTCTCTGAGGGCTTTCCTCAACTGCCAGGTTGGGGACCCTGCTTTCCCCTGAGCAGCCTGTTGCACCTGCCATCATAATTGCAGTGAAATATGTGAGGAATTCGGTGGCTGCTTGAGGGTCTGCCGCGTTTGCTGTCTGGTTGATCACAGTCTCTTTGGTGCCTGGACTCATGAACGGTTGTTTGTCAGATCTGGAATCCAAGTAAAACTGTTTGGCGGTGGGGTGCGGTTAAGAACCTCCTCTTCTTGCCACTTGACTTTTTTGCAAATTTTTGGAATGCTTTATCGTTTCACGAAGATTAAGAAGTGGGTGGCCGGCCGGGTTGGTGGCGGTGGGTAGAAAGGGGTCTTCTTAGACAAAGAGAGGCATTAAATCTATTCTTTGGTAAAATTGATGTTGTCGCTACCCTAACCCACTCCTTGCCCCCAAAGCATGAACCCCGGGGTTTGTCCTTAAAGAAGACATCCTGCCTCTTTGCGAAACAAAGAGACAAAGGGGGAGCCGGGCTATCCAGACTCAGATATTCTGACCGTTTTCTCTGATTTTGGTTACGTTCAGCGAATACCAGGGCCTGGTGAAGCACACTGGAGGCTGCCACTGTGGAGCCGTCCGTTTTGAAGTTTGGGCCTCGGCGGACCTGCACATCTTTGACTGCAAGTGAGTCTTTTTTTTTTTTTTTTTTTAAATCCAGGATCGGCTCACACCGCACTCTAAACGGGATGCTTACAAGCCATCTG